AACAAACGCATAAATAGATAAAAAAGAAATATATGTGTCTTTAAATGCAAATTAAATCGAAGGTTCTAATAAAATCGGAAGATGGAGGAAGAAAGCTTTGAAATGTCACCATTACGTAGTTGACAAAAACAAACATGACGCTTAGTTGTTAACTTTGTAGATAAAAGTTCGAGTGAAAATCGCAGAAATTTTTATCATCTCTGAACTTCTTCCACTAATCAACTTTATCATCACTATCGTCACCGTTATCACCACTATTGCTCCCACTTTTAGGCTCATACTTATTTGTAGTTTTTAGCGGTTCTTGTTAAAAGTAAAGAACAAAGAAGGCTTTTTTAAGACAAGAACACAAAAACCACTTTTTTTATCATATTTTTAGTTTATCCTCCTTTTCTTCTTCTATTTTCCTGTTTCAACTAAAACAACTCATCTTTTACTTTCATTCACGGTAGTTTTTTATTCGAAGTTTGCCTGCGTGTTTGTATTTGTATATTGAAATAATTGAATTAAATTAGATAAGCAGAAGAATTCTTTGTGTTGAATCTTACTGCTTCCTAATTTGGTATTCGTTCCGCTTCTCGTCATCTCTTCTGTAAAAATAGAAGAAATAAGGAAAATGACAGAAAAATGGGAAAAAGAAAAAAAAACAGAGAACAAAAGAACAACAAAAAAAAGTATAAAACTTTTACAAAAAAAAATATCTGCTTTCACTGTTGCTACTGCTGTTACCCGTAAAAGAAAAAAAAACATTCTCTATTCCCTCATTCTTCATTTTTTCTGAATAAATTCTGTTTGGTTTCTGGAGAGAAGAGAAATAATAAAGCTAACAAAAATAAAAAAAAAGACAAGAAAAAAGACTATATAAATAGCTATTAATCAATGCCAAATGGTGAAGTATATCAACTTTCACTGGATAAAACGCTGCTAAAAAAAGAGTGCAAAAAGACTGAAAAAAATCATAAAAATATTTTTTCTATCTTATTCCTTGGTCGTCATCTTCTTCCTCTTCTTCTTCTTCTCGGCTCTCTCAATCGTTGTTATCGTCTTCACCACAACCATTTAACAAAAATATGCAATAAGGATTTTTGATACACTTTGTACAGTCATAATCAAAGGACAACAACAGTGAACAAAACCTTCAAAATGACACTCTTTAGCCTCTTGTATTTACCTTCTAACCGTCATCTCCCTCCATCCCCTCCCTCTTTCTCTCCTAAAGAAAAAATCTTGTTTACATCATCTTTTCCCATGGTCTGTTTGCACGCCTATTTACTTATATGGCTGTTCAGTTTACTGTTATATCTTTGAGCAACGCTCTTGTCGAAAAGCAGAAACAAAAAAAGTCGTTTTTCTCGTCGCAACTCAAAACCCGTCCTAGGAAAAAAAAAAAGAAAGCTAAAAGAAAGAAGGAAGAAAATTGGGGTTAAATTTGTTGTTCCTTTGCTACACATTAATTACTACTTGAAGTAAGCTGTAGTCTAGTTTAAGACGCATCAAAAAATTTCAGAATATTACGGTTACTTAGAACAAATCTTTTACAGTCTTCAAAAACATGTTATAATTAACAACTTCTATAGCAGCAGAAAAAAACAGAGTAAAAAGTAAAACTCTATCAACGGCAACGGTGATAAACAATGAGTAGACGCTGTGATATCACCGGAAACTAATCCTTAACGACATCTACACGTTATTGGTGCAGTTAATGGTAAACAGCTGGTAAAATCAAATGAGCAACAGCTCCAGTGTTGGTAGTAGATTTTTGTTCATAGTCATGTGGTTGGCAGACTATTCACGTTTACTGCAGTCACACACGTAAGCCAATGGTTACAGAATTTTAAACAAGATGAAGACGAAAGCGACGAAGAAGAAGAAGGTTGAGTGGATATGTTGTTGGCCATGAAAAGACGATAGTTTGTAGAAGAAAGTTGTTAAATGCAAAGCGGATGACGACAAAAGCTTAAGGAACAAACGGAGGAAAAGATGAAAGATAACTGCATTTTTGAAACGAGCACGACAGAGATCTTTTGCTTTTGAGCTTTCCATTATCCTTAACACTTCGTATTATTCTCATGAGAGCAAGCCAAAGTTGTCGGAAAAGCTTCCAAAAACTACAAGTGTACATATCTGTCTGAATATATCAATAGATAAACACATACATAATGTCTACAACTGGACAGAAACTGCTTCATTTAACTTTCTTTTTTTTTCTTCCATGTATATCAGGATGATTTTTGTTGCTTTTTTTTTATGTTGCTTTTGCTGTTCTTATTTGTTGGATGCTTCTGATGCTGTTGCTGTTAGTGGAGATTGAAAAAAAAAAAAAACGTTTCTTTTTTTGATGGCAGTTTTTTGATGTACTTTTTTTTGCACAATTAAAGAGAAAAACATAAAAAAGATGACAGAAAAAGAGGGAGGAATTTAGGGGGTTAACTGTTAATCCAATTTACTTAAATTCATCTATCTTCAGTTTCTCATTTGTTTTCTTCATCATCGTCGTCGCCATCTTGGTCTTCTTCTTCGTCACTGTCGTATTTTCGCTTCATTTTTCTCCGCTTTTTCTTTGGTTTTGCTTCAACATTACTCATTTTTAAGCTTCAAATTTATTGTTAGTTTTATCCATTGAGACTTTCTGTGAAAAATTAATTAGACTGAATCTGCTGTCACCAGGCGAACAACAGCAACAGGTGATTGAAAGATGGAAAGGCTGTTAAAAAAAAAAAAAAAAAAAAAAAAAAAAAAAA